AGCATTTGACACATGTTAACTCATTTAATCCTCATAACAATCCCATGAAGTAGGTGCTATTATGATCTCAATTTTGTAGCTGAAGAGATGGAGGCTCACAAAGATTAAAAATCTTGCCCAAGGATATAATGCTAAAAAGTGGAGGATTTAATGTATTAACTGAAATTAGGTTTTGGATTATTTGTGGATTCCCTTCACCCTTTGAATTCCCTTCCAAATAACAGTGTGACTGTGAGTATTTCACAAGCGTGGAAATGGTGAAGAGCTATGCAGACCTCTGAGCCTGGGATGAAAGAGTGGTATAAAAGATCCCTAAAGAAACAAGAGACCCTGGGAATTGTGTTTTCCAAGTCTGCTATCAAAAGCCAGAATCTTAACTGGCATAAACATCTACTTTGGAGCTAGGAGGTTGATATCAGTACTATCACTCCATGTCCTATCTCACTTTATTTTTTTTAATACATTTTTTACTTCCAGAATCTTCTGTAACACACTAAAATAAATCAAGCCATTAAAAACTAAAATAAAGCGAGAAATCCTCCCCAGCTCCCCCTCCCCCGCCAGAAAAATACAGAAAAGCATTTTTTGGTAATATTTTTGTGATTGTGTAAACTGTATCTTTGTTAAAATAGAATATCCCCTTGAGAACCAGAAAAATTATTTGATTTTCCCATATGGAGGACAACAAAGCCTAGTCTTTCCATCTGAGTGCAGTGTTTAAAACCCTTACATTATAAGGAGTCTGAAAAAACTATAGTTCTCTATTATAGGAGCATCATAGAATGATAAAATAATAAACTGTGTTGCTAATTTCTGTATTCAGTCATTTTGTCCCTTGTTAGCACAGTTTACTTCAGAAATTCAAGGGTGGGGCTGAGCTTTGGGACCCTTGCAAAGAGGATGAGTGAGGACCTCCCAGACCACACCTCCCTCCCAACCTCCTCCCTGGTGAGTTCCACTTCCCAGTACTGAACTCCTAAGTTCCCAGAGTGGCTCCCACTTTCTCCTTTCTCCCTTTAGGCCTGTCTCTGTTGGGACTTTTCTCCCACTTCCTTTTATTTCTACCTCATTACCTAGTCTTGCAATGTTCTCTGACCCTTTTCCTAAGCCAGCTTCAGTGGTGGCATGCTCAAATCTGAATTTTTCCTGGCCCTCAAAATGCTGTTAGTGTGACTATTTGCTCGCTTATCCTTTCCTCCCCCTAGACTAATTCATTTATTCAACAAACATTTCTTGAGCACCCTAGTATTTGCCCAGGACTGTGGTAGGTGTTAGGGAAACAGGGTTAAAAGAAACTCCCTAACAGTGTTCCTGGAAGATAGTGATACTCGGTGATTGTTTGTGGAATGAATGAATGGAATTAGGTCATTACAAAAATAGTAGAAGGAAGACCAGAGGAAGATTAGCAGTCACACTAGAGACATTTGGCAGTTCCATTTCTCCCATCGTGCACATCCTACCCTGTAGGGTAACATCTTTGTAAGCCTCTTTTCTCCTCAAGTTTTTGTTTTCCTAGTCGACTTTCTTTCTGCCGGCTCTATTGGAAGCAGGAACTCTGGCATTGAAGCGACTTTGTGCCGATGCCCAGCACTGTCGTTTACTAGCTGGGTGACCCTTGGTTATTTCCTTAATTTCTACGGGCTTCAATTTCCTCCTCTGTAAAATTGAGATAGCAAACACCTATAACCTGGAGGATTGTGTGAAGATTGAGTGGGATTCACATTTGTAAAGGGCTTGGCTAAAAGTCTGGCTCTTGGAGAGTTCTCCTTTCCTTTCTTTGGTCTCTCCCCAAACCCCACCCCTTACCTTCCTACCAGATGTCACCAGGGTAGTAGTGGCTTGTAAGGTAACGTCAGGGGATACATGAAGCACATCTTAAAAACCCGTATTATTTTGATAAATATCAAAAATATCTAAGTAGCCATAAATCCCATTCACCTTTGTTTTTTTCATAAAAATCATTGCTTTGGATATGTAAAGATTTAAAAAAAAAACAAAGAAGGGCTTAAGTTTTAAAAAAAAATAGTTAGAAAACATCAGCAAGTCAGTACAAAGGAGAAGGGGAAAGAAAGAGGAATTGACACCTGAAAAACACTGAGGAAATAGACAATGACAATGACATGAAAGAAGAAAAACATTTAACACAGAAGTCCACAGCAGCTATATTTATTATGCTTGGCCTCAGCATTTGATAAACTGAGAGGTAACCATAACCATATTATGCATTTCTCAAACGTCACTCGTTGAAAAATTCTAGTTCTGGGGCTGCAAGGATTCAGTCTATAACTATATGATCATATGTCTTGGCTTTCTTAGCCTAGGATTAGTCTGTAACAGGCCAAATGGTCAGCTTTGGGTCCCTAAAAGTCACCTGTCCAGTTCTGTCCCTGATAAAGTACAAAGTGAAAGAGAATTGTTCGTTTAGATTTAAGAATAATTAATGACCACATAGGATTTCCAAAGAGGTTCTATGTTCCCCCTACTGTATATGTCTCTGTCCTGCTCTGTAAAATGAATATAATAATAGAATCTATATCATAAGGTTGTTATGAGGATTTAACATAAAACAAATATAATAATTGATATATATGTGTGAGCCATTGTTCTCATTAATCTAGAACAGACTAGCCTCCTTGGAGCACCTTGCACTACATACTCTGGCAGAAGAGCTCCTCTATCCTAGCAGCCTTGAAAATTATCTATCCCCTTATACCAATCTCCCTGCTTTTTAATGTTTTGTGATAGAATCAGCCCAATAAAAGCTTTCTGTCTCTGAACGTGTGGTATTCAATAATTTGGAAAGTTCACATATCCTCTTCAGTTTCTCCATCCTTACAAACTTCTACCCAGACCATAGATGTTCTGTAGATTCATTTGTTAACATTTGAGAAGCTATATTACACACGTGTGCGTGCGCGCACTTCTTGCGTTCCGTGTGAGAGAGGCCACGGATCTCCATGACTCTTGAGGGACTCGTTTGCAGTAAGGCTAGTTTCCCCACCCCACCTCTCCCAAAAGTTAAGTATAAAAGGTTATAACCAAACAAACCCAAACTAGAGCCCTAGCTACCAGGCCCTGGCAATCGTGATCAAGGTGTAGCAAGTTCTTTTTACAACGTAAGACAATTCAGTCATAAGGACTCTTGTCTGCGCTGCCTGGAAGCAAATAAATATGAATATAAGAAACCAGGAAATTGGGAGACAGGTCCTCAAGACTACCCCCCCCACACACACACACACCCAAGGGTGAGAAGCTGCACCAGTTTGAAGTGCATAACAAAGAAAGCGGGTCCCGGAGCCTGGAGGGGAGGCGGGCGGTGATGGGGGCGGGGGGGCGGGTAGCAAAAAGGTGTCTATAGGACCTGCGCCAGGAGAGGGTCCGCTTACACCTCCAGGGCCGCAGCTACCCCTACGCCTCTTTTCTCAAGATCGAAGATGCTCCTGAGACCGGTAGAGATTCACTTTTGTACTGAGAAATTGACATCAAGAGCCACCCCATCCTCCGGTGCAACCGGGCCCAGGTATCTAAACACTTGTGCTTAGAACTGTGGCTCAGGATCTCCAGGTCCCCACCAAGCCTCTCAAGGTCCCAACTACTGCCCCCTCACTGCGGGGCACACACCCTGGCGCACCAGTGACCAAGCCTCCCAGGTTGGGCTTCCCAATTTAATTTATCCCTTTCCTCTAACCAAGTCAGAAGCGGTGCGCATCTCCTGGGCTGTCCCGGCACACACCGCACATCTGGGGCACTCCCCCACTCTCCCTGCTGGATCGCGAAGAGAGGATGGGAGCCCGCGGGGCGCACTGCGCGCCCCGGCGCCTCCACCCCAGCCCGTGGCAGGGCGCAGCGCCCACCCTCCAGTGCCACGGCCTGCGAAGAGCCACTCCCTGTGCAGCTCCCAGCGCCCGGCCGGCTGGTCCCTGCGCTCACCTCTCACCGGACACGGGCGTGCTCCCAGCTCACCCCCCAAGGACTCCCTGTGTCCCGGCTCCCTTCTCTCTTCCCTTCATTCATTCTCTTTTCTCCATTTCCCTCCAACCCTCACACTCTCCACTCTCTGGCTCTGGCCTCTTACCCCTTCTCGCCTTCCGCCCTACTCCCTGGGCTTCTCCCCTCTCTCCGTGTCCCCTCCCCGTCCCCTCAACTCCCCCTTGGCTTTCCCGCTCCGCGTTTCTGCACTTCCCCTGCCTTCTCTCCAGCGCGCCCCAGGCTTCCCAGTCCCACGGCGCTGGACGCCTCCTCCCTCGGAGCTTCGGACTCAGTGTTCCAACCGCCCCCCGCCACGGCCCCTAGATCCAGCACAGCTCTCGCCTTCCTACTCTCTGAAGGAGACTCTCTGGGGACTTCCAGGGCCGCAGCCCCCCACCCGGGGTACCGTGCTGGCCGGGCCCAGGCAGCCCAGCTGTCAGGGACAGCGGGTCTATTTTAGGTCCAGCACCCAATGTCCCTGCCCTGAGGACATGGGCCCGCAACTTGGGTAGCACTTGCCAACCCTGATCCCAAGCTGACTCGAGCTAGGCTGGTGGCGCGGCCACGGCTGTGGAAGGCAGTCTCAGGACACTGAACTGAAAATCCAAGTGCCAAGGGAATCTGGGGCCGGGGGCGGAGGTTGAACTCCCGGGAATGGGCTACCTTGGCATAGCCACCTCTCTTGCAAAGGAAGTCACACGCGAGACTTCCCAGTCAGTCCCCTTAACTCCGTATGCTCTGGTTTACTTAATTTCTAGTCAGTCCGGTCAGTAGCCTGCAATAACCCACCCAAAGCCTGATCCTTTGGAAAATCATAAGAGGAATTAGGGTCAATCAACAAACAAGTTACAAAGAGCCACAATGCCTAACCTAAGCCCCAGAGGGTTGGGAGACCAGACCGCACGTGTGTGTGTGTCCCTGTGTGCGCACGCACACACGCGCACGAACACCAATCCGGGCTGGGATCCAGCCACAAGTTTGCACACTGACAAGTCTGTAAGCCTAGCCGAAAATAGAAAAGTTTCACTCACCTGTGTCTTTTTCTACCTCTGCCGATTGGGATCCAGGGGAAGTATCGGAAAAGGGTGGATTGAGAGACCCTCCTTTCTTTTCTTTTCGCCTTCCCAAAGAGTGGAAATTTCCATCATGTGATAGGGGGCAGCATCCCCAGTGTCGCGTTTCCTGCGGACCCTCCCTTCCAGCCCAGCCACCAATCCTCAGGCGGCAACCTGAGATGTAAACAAAAGCATCCTCCCAGGTGGGCTGAGTTGTCCAGCTGTCCCGCCAGAGTGAAGCCTGGGAGCCACCAGCTCCTGCTCCCTCTTTTCTGGGTCCCCGACAACAGAGAAGATCTTGGTGTGAGTTGAGGTTTTTGTTGTTGTTTGGTTGGTTGGTGGTTTTATAATTAGGTCTCTTCATCAGTCGAGGTTGCATTTGTTGAATCTACCCTATATGCAGGAATAGGTGTTGATCTTCACTTTGAAGTCAGTAAAAAAGCCTTTCAGGTAGGTTGACTCCAAACTGCCTCCAGGTTTAGGGTTATCAAACACGAACTCGACATAAAGGAAAAAAAAATGAGGAAGGGGTACAAATGAAAAACCTGTCATTCACAGTTAAAGTCACTTTAGGATCGGTGAAGTTGGGAATAACTTGGTAGAATTTAACCATGAGTGGGGGATCTCCAGTAATTTCTTTTCTGGGACTTCAATTTAAACATAATTCCCAGTATATATGGAGAAAGAATTAGGATATAATAAACAACACTGTAATTTTAATTCTGTTTATTAAAAGCATTAACCTACCACTTTAGGGAAAACTGTTTACATTAAAACTATTTTCTGATGTTAAGCAAAATTCTTGTTTCAAAGAAGGTCTGTGAAACAAATATGTTCACAACCCTCTGTTTATTTTAGTATTCATTTGTCATTCTTTGGGGAAAAAATAATCTCCAATGGAGAATTGACGCCACAGTTCAGCAAAATTACCAGGCAACACAAATTGCTTTCTGAACTCTGGCATGGCCAGTATCACTGTATTCAGAATGGTAAGTCTCACTGTTTGATCATACCATGAAAGCCTAGAACCATCTTCTCTTACTTAGAGTTTCCATTGATTAAAACACCAGCAGCACCTTAGCACGTCAAAAAACAGGATAACAACAAAAATTACCCAGATAATGTATAATGATCAGGAACACTTAAAAAACAACATTAATACACACACATGCATGTGCACATACATATGCATCAAATTGTACTAAAACCATCCAACAATGCAAATTCAACAGAAGGATGATGCAATAAATACCTTCACTGGGGTTACCATTTTGGAGCCTAAATATAAATAAAAATCAGTATCTAAAAAGTACTTGTTTTGGGGTGCCTGTGTGGCTCAGTCAGTTGAGTGGCTGGCCCTTGGTTTCAGCTCAGGTCCTGGGATGAGCCCCACATAGGGCTCCCTGCTCAGCGGGGAGTCTGCTTGAGGATTCTCTCTCTGCCACTCCCCCTGCTTGTGTGCCTGTGCTCTCTCTCTCTCTCTAAAATACATAAATCCTTAAAAAACATAAAAATAAAAAAACACTTGTTTTATGAAAGCGGATTATCCCCCTCCTGACCATTTATGGTATACCTCCTTAGTTTGTCACAACAAGAAGTTTCCATTCTGAGAAATTAGAATATATCAGAATAATTTTCAGGTCCCTTTAAATTTGCTGAAACTAGATTATGTTTACACTATCACACCTCCCATTGATTCTTATTTTATAAACATAAGCATATTTTATAAAGCTACTAAAGTGTCAGAATTGGTAGGATTGAGGGAGGATTAGTGACACATCAAGACAGCTGTGTATTTCTCTCTGCCTAACCTAACATTAAAGACAAAACCCAGATTTCTAAAATGAGAAGTCATTCTAGAGAAAACCAAATGAAGATAATATCATGCAATTCAAGACAGATACTCATTAAATGTGCAACTATTCAACTTTTTAATGAACTGTTTAATCAATTCTTGGCATCTATATCTTAATACAGAAAAGATAAAAAACAGTGTTTCATTGCCTCATTTGCTGGAGTCCAATGGGTTACCCATCTATATAAACTGTTAATATCAGGTGTGTGTTGAGGTAAAATGAGATGCATTCATCTGTGAATCAGTGAAGAGCTGGACAAAGTTCAAGTATATCATCTTTTGTAGCTACTGTCCATTAGAGTTTAAGAAGAGCTCAAAGCCCTGTCTGGATGGTATGAGACAACTGACAGCCCTTTATCTTCCCTGCTACAACCCAAACCTTGAGTCATTGACAGCTCTGTTGAACCTACCCAACAATCTTCAAAGGTCTGTTCTAAACCAGTCTTTGAAACGATGAGAAGCAGCCCGAACCAGCAACATGAATACACCTGCAGGACCACAGTGTAAAAACACATTTGATTTATCATCAGATCATTCACTGGCTCTGGAGAAGTTAGCTTATTTGACTCTCAGAGCTACCACCTATGAGCTATGAGACCTTGGCCAAATCACTAAGTTCTTAGTGACCCATTTTCTCCTGAAAAATGGAGCACATTTCTTGATACATTGTTTTCCTGACTTAAGTTATTTTCAGACAGTGCTAAAAACTCACCTAGTGATGGAGGAAAATGAAATGTTTGCAACTGAGAAAAAAGCTTACAGAGCAGATAGCATTTACTACCATCTTGACAAAGCTGGCTTGAGCAAAACTTTCTGCTCTAAAATTATATTAACACATTAACATATATTAACACAAAATTATATTAACACATCAAAGCTCTCTGCACTAAAATCATATTAACCTAGGAATGGTTATTAGTTTTGTCATTAATACTTTTCAAGAAAACTATATGGAAAAATATTCCCCAAATATAGTCTTTTGAACCAAAGCTAATACTTGAAAACAGTTCTGTGCTCCAGTAAGTTTGGAAAACACTGTGTTGAAAGTTATTGTGGGATTCCTCAGAAGTTTTAATCAGTCTCTCTAAGGAGCATACAGTATTTCTCCATGACTGTGAGCCCTTTTTGGAGGAACATCTCCCAGGGCTGATGATCTAGAGTATACCGATTACCAAATTTTAGCATAAATGAATGCTTGATGAAGGAAATAGAACACAATAATTATTTAATGATGTAGGACAGTGCTATAAAGTTCCTTGGTTTATGGACTATTGTTAAGAAGTTTGATGGCAGTGATTTTAGTACACTTTGTGTAAGTATTTTTCTTTGATAGTAGACTTTTAACATGGATTATTTTTCCAATTTATAATTATTATAATTAGTAAAATGGCTTTAGGCTACAAAGCAACTTAGCATATATTAAGGCACTTGATACTAAAATAAGCTAACCATAATATTATTATTTTCCCCATTCAATGAGAAAGGAAACTGAGGTTCAGGGAGGTTAGGTGATTTGTCCAAAGACACAGAGCCAATAATTGGCAGACGGGAGCATGAACCACCGCTTCAAGTTCAGTATCTCCCACAGCTCATCTCCCTTTTCTTCTGAGCATTTTCTTTTCTAAGACTGATAACTGTTTTCCTGCCTACAATGTAGCAAACCCTAAAGGGCATGCTTAGCCTTAAAATTATGATTTTTAAAAATAATTACTATAAAAGCAATTATCTCTTTATCATAATTGCATGAATTCTAATGTCAGTATAATGACTTTATTTTATATGAATTTGAACTTGATTTATGTGAGAAACTGAGTAATACCAGGAACTGTATTTATGGTTGAGTTTTAGTGTTATGTTCTCTAAATGGGCTACTATTTCTTACTGGTACTAGGAAAGAGATAGCTGAATAGATCACTCACCATCTCAGTTTCTCACATGATGAAACAACTAGCAACTGGATCACAAAACAAAATATCAAACTAGATCTAGGATCTCAGAAGACCCAAGTCTCATGTCCAATATTGGGACGCCAGGAGCCAGATGCTGGGGTCCCCTCCAGGAGGTGAAAAGGGAAAGCAGAGCCCACATGTCACACAAAGATAGCTCAGAGAGAAGAATGTGCATTGTGTGGTCAGCATTCAACACCAGCCCCAAGGATGTCAATTTCTGTCTTTCTGGTCTGGAAATGGCATTACATGCAGGCACCTACCTGTCAGAGTCACCAAACACATCACCTTCCTTTTCCAACTTGACATTCATGACACCAATCAACTATAACCATCTATACAACCCATATTCTAAACTGCTCGCTTCCTCCCTGCTTCCCAACACCATGGTCTTCCGTGCCTTAGTGCTTTTGAATGTATTCTGTCCACTTTCTGGAAGCCCTTGCCGCTGACTCTGCCCGTCAACTTCACTTTTACTCATCTTTCAAGACCCAGCTCACATATCACCACTTAAGTGAATGAAACCTTTCCCGACTCCAGTTATCTTTTTTCTTGGAAGGCTGGGGACATGGGGTGGGGTGGGTGGGGGAAGTTCAAAGAAGGCTGGAAAAAGAGAATCAGCATGTTTTGGACACGGAACTTAGTACTTATAATCACCCCGTGAGGTGGGTGCTTTTATCCCCACTTTTCAGATGAGAAAACAGAGACTGAGTTAGGGGGCTTGCAAGAGGCAGAATTTGAATTGGGACTCAGGTGGACAGGATTCCAAAGCTCTCCTCCTTCTGTCCCATGATTAAACTTGCCCTCGTTTGGGTTCCCGAAATATATCATACTGCACAATTTGGCCCCCATTAGACTTCAGGCCCCTCAGTAGTCAGTCCCTGTTATTCTTTAAAGATTTTATTTATTTATTTGAGACAGAGAGAATGAGATACAGAGAGCATGAGAGGGAGGAGGGTCAGAGGGAGAAGCAGACTCCCTGCCGAGCAGGGAGTCCGGCGCGGGACTTGATCCCGGGACTCCAGGATCATGACCTGAGCCGAAGGCAGTCGCCCAACCAACTGAGCCACCCAGGCGCCCTAGTCCCTGTTATTCTTATCTGTGTTCCCAGCATTTGCCGTAGCATCTGACACTAGGCACTGAGTACATCTATATCCAACGAGTGAGTGAGTGAATGAAGAATGCCCCGTGGTTTGCATATTGCAACAAACGCTATCTACTTCTGAGTTGTCAAGTAAAATTACCTGCGATTTATCCCTAACGATAATTTGTATCTTTTCTCTGTTTTTTTCCCTCCTAAGTCAAGAGTCACCATGATTAGGTGCCCAGCTCTAGTTTCGGTGCCCAGAGAGAGAATGATGAAATGTGCCAGGCGACCAGCCACTCTGAGGTGCTTTGCACAACAGGTGTTTGAACAGGGACTGACATTGATCTGACACAGCCAGGAAGCACAATAGCATGACAGCTTTCGGAAAGGGGTATCAAGGTGCTCCAAAAGCAAA